AAAGTTAACTCATAGTCACTCCTTCAAATTTGGTATGGAACCTAAAAGGTTTGAGTCGTCCGCCTGTTTTAAACAAACAAGGGCACTCAAACCCCTATTCCTACTAGGTAACCTATTGAGTTAATAGCCAACAAACATTGGCAAATCAAGAGGATCAGCCGGCCTCCGCCGCCTGGTACCTCTACTATTCAATCTAGAGTGTGACGAAGACTAAGTAACTCCTATGTTAACTTAATAGTCACTCAAACTTAGTATGGAGCCTAAAAGGTATGAGTCGTCCGCCTGTTTTTAACAAACAGGGACTCTCAACCACTACTCTTGCTAGGTTAACAAATTACGAGTTAAAAGCCAACATTGGCAATAAAGGGAAACAACCGGTACCCGCCGCTTGTTATCCTACTTAATTCCTTGGCGACTAGGTAATACTATTTACTTGGTCAGACCGATTGAATAAATAGTTCGAATACCGATTGAATAAACGGCCGACTGATTGTCTATCCTGGAAACAGACAACCAGTCGTCCAGGGGCATAGGCGGCGTACTTACTATTTGTACCTGTCTGCAACGTTCGGCCATGTACAACAGTCGGTCTAGTGAACAATGGGATATTAGATATGGAATACTTAGACAAATTTGAATCAAAACAAAAATTTGATTAAAAATAAGCCGGTCATTAAAGACCAGCAAAATATTCAAAGCCCCGGCCCCCTGGCCGGGTAAATACAAAGCAAACGGCACGCAGGCCGTGGAAAAAAATACTTTAAGCTTAAGAAGGGGGCAGTTCAGTATTAGCAGCTGCCGCCTGGTCAGCACTCTTCTTGCTGGACTCGGCTTCAGCTGCACCCTCTTTTGATGCCTTACCCCCAAGTGGCACAAGCGCCACAACCGGCTCTTCCTCCTCCTCCAACGTATCTCCCAACGCCTCTTCTTCAGCAGGCTCCAGGATCTCTTGATTATATGTTTCCGAACACTGGCGGTACGTTCTTTCCCATGAGGCAAAGTCGGCATTGGGGAACAAGCGGCCCCAGGTCATGCGCTGGATTTGAGCGGAGTCTTCCACCATCTCCCGGACGAGCTCTTTCTTCTCTTGCTCGGCCTTTTCCGAGAGCTCTTGGGTAAGACTCTTCTCTTGGCTCACCAGGCGTTCTTTTACGTTGGCCAAAGATTTCTCCATGGCTTCGTAAGAGTGCATTTTTTGGCGAAGAGGTTTCAGCTCGGCCTTAAGATTTGTGACGGTCGCCTCCAGCTCGTCATTCTTCTTCTGGGCCGCCTCTAACTAAGCCCGAGCAGCAGCGGTAGCCTGCGCCTGATAATAAAGAATATCAATGGTCAGTACTTCATTTTGGGCAATTTGAAACATTGCCTTATCACAGTTGGAGGCGGCCATAGCTTTTGCAGCCTTTACCTCTTTGTTTTTCCGATCAATCGGCTTGCGAAGGCTGTTAACTCGGAGCAGGGCCTAAGTACAAAAAAAACAGGCGTCAGTTTCCAAACAAAAAAGATAACAGGCGTCCTGGAACTCAAATACTTAAAAATATGCTAAGTATACCTCAGCAAGGACCCCTGCAATCCCATCAAGGTCAAGGGTGTCGGCACCCCTGACCGCCTCCCTTTCAGATGGAGGAACTACTTTGATCATGGACTTGGCTACCTCAACCAAGTCAAGCCCCTGAGGGCCGGCTGCATCAAGCGTAAAAAAAGCAAGTTAGACCTAGTCAAGAAGGAAGCAAGTGTGAAAGTTTTTACAAGTGATTGTCCATACTTCTAGGCGGCCCCGCCGGGGTTTTAGAAGAAGTGGCCGGCTGCTTCTCAGCCGCCACTGTTTTCCTGGAAGACCCAGGAGAGCTTGCAACAGTCGTCCTCCGGGCCTTGGGGTCCGGCTGTTGCGAGGAAGAAGCTCTTGGAGTGCCAGACTGAAAACAAAAAGAGTTAGTATATGCATAAGACAACTCCTAAAAGAGGAAGAGTTTTCGAAGCCTACCAAGGGTGCCCCCTTGTTGGGGGAGTCGGTACAAGACTGTTGCATGAGAGAGGCCCGCAACATGGCCGCCGCAGTCTTGGATGCTGTTATTTTACTCATGGCGTCAGCTGCAAAAAATAAACAGCAAAGTTAGTAAAATCCCAAGTAAACAAAGCGTGAAAAAACAGAGTATTTGACAGGCCGGCTACCTCTAGAGCACCGACTGCTGAGGCCACAGGCGGCCAAAAAGTACTCGTCATAGAGCCACTTGAAGCTCGGGACGCAGTTTAGGGGTACTTGCTCTCGTACCCCCGAAGTAGAGTTCACCCTAGTCTCTACTTTGAAGAGTCCTTTGTCTAGGATCTCTTTTTTAGCCTTTGGGGGAACAGGCGGCATGCTGCGGCCGCCTGCGAGAAGAGGCGGATCCCTATTCCACTTGTTAAAGCGTTGGTTCAGCTCCGTGTCCGAACCCTCGATGATAAGGAAGGTGTTCCGCCAATCCTTCCATTTGTTCGCCTTACCTCTCGTCATGAGGTAACCCCTATGGCTTGTTAATTGATACCAGCCGGTACCTCCCGACTTAGGGGTCCGGCTGAGATAGTTCATGTGGGCGAAAACCTCAAAGCTTGGCTCCACCCCGTACATTTCGCACCCGGCCACATAGCCGAGTACGTTTACCCAAGAGTTGGGGGCTAACTGCCATAACCCCAAATCATACCCATCTAAAATCCGCTGAACAACCGGATGTAATGGGAAACACAGTCCAGCTTTGATGGCCGCCACATAGCAGCCAAAGCAGCCGTCATCATAGCTGGTACCAGCCGGCCAGACGACAGTGTCTTCTGGATCCGGCACGAACAGTAAAAATTCCGGGCCCATTCTGTGGTTAGCAATAAAGCTCTCCACTTTGTCTTGCATGGTTGCGATCCGGCCCCGGGGTACCATGCAGTAGTAGGGGGCGTTTTCCTCTCTGTAAGAGGCGGACGGCTCCGCCCAATTGTCCCCCTTCTCAACTGCATGAGAAAGTCTCGCCTCTTGTAGGCGGCTATGTCTTTCTTCTGAGCCTGGAGAACTGTGGCCAGAAGAGCTGGACTCGGACTCGTCCTCTGACGAGTCCGAAGAGGACGACTCCTCCCCTCTCCCAGAGGGGCCCGCCTCCTCTCCCTTAGAAGGAGCAGGAGGAAAATTAGACATATCAATGGTAAAATGGGAAGGGACCACCTTGGCCCCTCTCTCAGAACTGTCGGCTTGGCAGCCGCCTCGTTTCAATTCTACATCTGGCGCCTGGTCAGATGTTTCACTAATGAACACCCTTTGGGAGGAGCCGTCTGAGTTTGAGATCATAGCAGTCTTTTTTGTTCTGGCCATCACGTTCTGCATAGACACAGATACAGTCGGACTTTGTATAAAGGGCAAAGATGGGTCCAGAAAAGGGCAGGCGGCACTCCTAGTCCTAGATTCAGCCGTCCCCGGTGACCGGCTGATCACAAACTTAGGTCGTGTCGTGTGCTTCCGTGGTGCCATTTCAAAAAATAAAAAGAAAATTAAGAGTAAGAGAACTGAGTTACCTGAACGAGTGACGGTTGATGAAGTTCTGGAAATCCGGTGCAGTCGGCTTGTCAGAACAGGCGATAGGCAGAAAAGGTCCGAAATGTCAGAGCAAGTTCAGGGGTCCGAATGTTCTCGCAAAGTTCTCAAATGTGAAAATGACCGAAGTCAACACTTCCTTATATAGGCAAAGTGAGAAGGCGAAGGGTCGCTTCCAAATTCAAAATTTGGGCGGGAAAATCTCTCGGCCGTTTGCAAGGTGACACCTGTAGCAGGCCGTCGCCTGTCACCGTGCGACACCTGTCACAGGCGACACGTGACCAGTCACGTGCCACCTGTGAGGGGCAAATGATTAGGGGATTTTTATCCACCAATCACCGTCTGACAAGTGGACCAACCAGGTTCCGCCACGTGTCCTTTACGTAGGCCAATAGGAGCCTGCCACGTGTCAATCACAGATACGTCCTCTACGGACCAATCAAGGCACGCCACGTGTCCACCCATGCCAAATGGGAAAACCGGCCAACAAGGCCCAATCCTGTCTAGAGGCCCGGTCAACCCTAGGTTTACCCTAAACCTAGAGAGTGGCACGCTTCTCAAGACTATAAATACTTAATTAATCCTCATTAAAGGGAATCAAGAAAAACATCAAGCAATTGAGAGAGCAATTGATCAAGCAATTAATCTCACCTGAAGAACAGAGAAGAACAGAAACATTACGGAACACTAATAACCGGCTAATCTCGCTAACAAAGCAGATTACCAACATTAAACACTCTCACCTAGAGAGGTCTTATTACTTTAATTTCCGTATTAATTACTCCTTAATCAGGTACTAACTTGACCGTTGGAGGCGGAGCTCTCAGGAGTCTCCGTTATTTTGCAGGTACAGGCGTCCGGTTCCAGTCTCGGAATTGTAACTCTCCCGCAGGACATCAGAAAACCCCGAAACAAAAATTATACCGAATAAAGGAAAATACTGAAATTGTAATAAAAATGAAATCTTGAGTTCAACAATAATCTCAAACTAAACATTACCTCAAATCCTCAAAAAAACCCTAAAATTTTCTCTGTTCAGCAATAAACTTAGGGGCTGCCATCGATTTTTATTGATGGTAAGCCCCAAATTCTTCTTTAATTTAATGTTTTTAGCCAATAAAGATCACCAATCGTATGGTGACTATAGTCAGTCACTCCATGTAGGGTTTAGTTAATCCCTCCATGTAGGGTTTAGTATTGTAGTTATTTTGTTTGTTTGTTTTTAGTGTGTGTAAGGATACAAATTTGGAAAATTCGTCTTGTAAATTTGTGGAATTACGGGTATGTTGGTATAGGGGTGCAGATTTAGAAGATTTGTCTTGCAAATTTGCAGATCTTGTTGACCAATCAAGTTTTATCACTTTTGTGATTATACATCAATGGAGCTCTGTCAAGAACGATGCAAAGACATCTAAAATTATAAAGGAGCAATTCAGAAGCGATGCCATTAGTTTAGGGGTTTTTAATTCTTGTATTGAGAATTTAGATCTCTTAAGGGATGATTGTAAGTGCTGAATGACTATTATTATATAAAGAAATCATCGCTCCCTATTCCATTCATTAAGAGTTGAGATTTTTTTTTTTTTGAATGACATCGCTTCTGAATTGCTCCTCGATAATTTTAGATCTAAATTCCCATGATTGTAAGTGCCGAATGACTATTATTATTTAATGAAATCACCGCTCCATTCAAAAAAAAAAAATCTCAACTCATTCGTGAATCCCTAACATCAAATTTCCCCAATTATACTCTCAATCTCTATACCTCTCTCAATATCAATCTCGAATTTCGGCTTGAAGAACCCTAAACTTTAAATCCATTACCCTTTTGCTGAATTTTCCCTTTTTATTTGCTTAATCCTTCAATTTTATTTGTGAATTTCATTCGATCTTGTCAACCAATACAATTTGCTGAATTGAATTTCTCATCCTAGGTAAATTTTTTCTCATTATTATTTTAGATGTGCAGAATTTTCCCCTTTCAATTTTACATAATTTTTCTCTATTTCGCTATGACCTTTACGATTTGCTGAATGTTTAGGGTTTTATCAATTTTTTCGTTTTACAAGTTTATTTTGTCAATTTTGATTTTGTTATTTATTCTTTTATTTTTCTTTTTTCAATTAAGCTAATTCGTTTTCTTTTTTTTTTTCTCAATCTCATCTATAATTGAAACCATGATTTCATTAATTGATGTCTAGTTGTAAGCATCACTTAAAGACTTCCAGTCAATACGAAAGAAATTGAGGAAAAAAGGTTAATTAGGTATGTTTACTGCATGTTTATGACAACATATGAGTCATATTCGTTTAACATTTTCTCATTATTATTGAATTTATTTGGTTGTGTTAAATATGTTGTATAGCTTAATATATATATATATATATATATATATGAGTGTTTAGTTTGTTTCGTTGTCTGCTTTGTAATTATGTGTAATGAGTGCTTAATTCATCAATAACTCCCCTTTGCTTATTCCATGTTTTATAATTTCTTTAGAATCTTTTAGTTTAGGTTTGCAATTTTCGCTACCTTAAATTACCATGATGATGTATGGGTACTCAAAAATTTTGTTGGTTTATACATTAAAATTATGCCATCAGTTTACTGATGCTTCTTGGCTTAGTCTAGGTGTTTAAAAGTGTAGTGTGTTTATATTTTACCCACATTAAGTAGGAAATATATTGATCATATAAGTTTGGAAAATAAAGTGTAAAAGGACTTGTTTGAAATTGTTGGTACAAAAATGGATGTAGTTATGAATTCAATCAAAACTCTTAAGTTACAGTTTGGTCACTTTTGTGTGGATTGGGAGGGTGGCTAAATATTCCCTTATTGGAAGTGTTCCTATAAATTTGTAGGCTTGGCTGGCTGTAATAGAATCATGTTGCTATGTGGCAGGATGATTGTGAGGGGTGTATGTGCTTGGGTTGAGGTAGGGGACAGAGAGATGTTGGTCTATGTACAAGAAGATTGGTGAAGTACAGGATAGGGACTATAAACTCCTTTATTGGTGTCTTTGCTCTTTGTTTTTTGACAAGGGGCAAAAGATAGATTACTCAATTCCATCTAAAGAGATCGAAACATAGTGAAAATTATATAATAAATTTCTAATTTTCTATTAGATTTTTTTATTTCCTTCGGTTCTTTTCTAGTTAGAATCTTCATGGTTTCCTTATAGCTCAAACAAATATGTAATTTACATCTCTTCTTAGAGTACTTTTCTTGTAAACTATCATGGATAGCCTGTAGGTCCAAGATTATTTTGCATTGTCATAAGCATAGATATGTCTTCCTCTTGCTGCCTGGTTCCCGGTGTGCAGAACCAACTTGGGCATCATGCTCGGTTTCTTTTTGCCTTGTCCATACAACTATAAGGTATTTGTTTGGTAGTTAGCATGGTAGAGTAATTCTAGAGTAGTTCTACATCAGTTGAAAATAACTTTGGAAGGTGCCCAAGTTTATAATAGACTTTCTGAAAATAGATATATGAACATTAGGTAATGACTTTTTCTTTAAAGTATTTTATAGGATTTGGTTTTTAGGTGGGATAAGAAATAAAAATTGGAGTACCTGCTAAGTATTTCATCATTTAGTTGGCTTATGAACTTATGATTGATTTGGGTTTTGTTTTTCTTTTTTTGTCAAACTTCAGTGTTCTACATCAGTTGAAAATAACTTTGGAAGGTGCCTAAGTTTATAATAGACTTTCTGGAAATAGATATATGAACATTAGGTAATGACTTTTTCTTTAAAGTATTTTATGGGATTTGGTTTTTAGGTGGGATAAGAAATAAAAATTGGAGTACCTGCTAAGTATTTCATCATTTAGTTGGCTTATGAACTTATGATTGATTTGGTTTTTGTTTTTATTTTTTTTGTCAAACTTCAGTGTTCTTTTAATATTTGCTTTAGATTATCTTCTCATTGTGATTTGAGAAAATTTGATGCTGAAAGGATGGATTATTAGAAAGTTGTTTCTTTTATATTCTTTTTCTAATACTTACCTTTCTCTACTTCTTTCACTGCTTACAATTATGTATGTATTGACATATTTATTGTGTTGACTTGGAAAACTTAAGGGTCGACTAATTTGGTGACATTAATTATTTTCATTGGTTGAACATTGTCCTTTGCAAAATTCAAAACTTACACGTACTATTACAGTTTACATTGACAATAATGTCAGTAACGTAACAACTATTAATAACAAATTGTGTAATGTGGGGAGTATTTCATCTTTGAATATTTTTATTGAATTATGTTTTACAGTAATTTTCCAAGTTCAATTTCTCATTAAATTAGCTGCTTTTACTCTTTTTGAATTGATGCCCGGAAGTTGCATTGATAATTGTTGTTTATCTAGGGTGTTGAAGCTTCTCCCAGGTTATCTAACAATGACACTTATCCTAGAGATTAGCTATTACACTAGTAAGATCTTCAATTGGAGGTTAGATTGTTAATTGTATATTTAACATACATCCTATGTTTACTCCAACTAGATAACTTTGGTACCTTGTAGATATGTGTATCTTTCATTACATAATTGTAAGGATTATTGATTACTTTTAAATTTAGTTGATTATTTGTCTTAACTGATGCAGGTTATGCTTTAGCAACTTGAAAGTTGGAACATGAAGGCAATTTCAAAGCACATTATTTTGTCTTACAAAATATAATTGAATCTATATTTGCATAGATTTTGTTTTAGGCATAAATTTCATTCTAGTTATTGAACGAATTTTTTATGTATAAGTTAGATGATTGTGTTGTTTGAATGATTTTAGGTACTTTAATAATTTCCAATGTTTCTTGCTCAATGACATTTGTGGTTATAATACATTTTTGATAAATTTTTTAGTATTTGCAATTTTATTGTGAAAAAAATCATGTTAATTAGCAATGCTAATTGTGTGATATACAATTACAAAAGTGTACATCTTACCTTTTGCGGCGTTAAAAAGTGCCTTTACAAGTAGAATAATGTGGTAGTTCACCTCTTACGGCGCTTAAAAGTGCCTTTAGAGATTATAGAAAAGTGTGTTACATTGGTAATGGCAATGCTTAATAGTGTCGGGGCAAGTATAGAAAAGCACACCATACAAAGTTATGGCGGCGCTTATTAGTACCTTAGTAGGCAATGTGCAGTGCGTGGTATTAAAAAATGGCGACGCTTACGAGTGCCTCTATAATAGGCCAAAAAGCGCGTCAAGGTCACAATGGTTTTTGGAAAACTATACCGACGCTTGTAAATTGCGTCACTGTAGGGTCTTGTGGCACCAACTTAAGCGGCACTGTTGGAAGCGTCGGTATAGGGTTTAGCAACGCTTTTTTGCGCCGTGGGAGCCCTTTTTTAAGGGTCACAATAACCCTTGTTTGTTGCATACTTATCTTTTGTGCATACTTTGTTTATACAAAAAGGGTTAGATCTATTAACACCACAAATCTTACAAATTTTTTATAAACCTTCTATAATTTGCATATGACTTAAGTCATATTTAATTACTCCCTTATATGTAAGGCCAAGTTGTCCACGTATACTAGCATTATGACTCCAAAAAAACATCCAACCATACCTTTATGTTCAGTAAATATAACTGCCCCAACCGAACCATTTGCTCCATACTTATATTTTGTTGCATACTTTGTTTATACCAATTATCCGGCCTAACCTTGAATAACATCCTATGGTTGCCTACTTAAGACATTCTTATGGTTTGTCCCTTAATTATTTTGAAAAATTGCATACTCGAATATCTTATCATTTTTCAAAATTTTAGCTTTGCCAAAGCCTACAACCTAGGTAGATAATTAAAATTTATCAATTTACAATTTTAAAAATATCCTATAGAGCAAATTCTTACAAAATATAGGAACAAACCAGATATATTAGAGGTATGGAGTTTATAACACAAGTGAATATCTCTAATTTATCATCATTGACTAATATAACACATGATTATAAACAGTCGAAAATGTACCATTTTTTTATTAGTGAGTTCAATAACACATGAAATAAATTATATATATATATACATATATATATATATATACATATATATATATATATACATATACATATATATATATATATATGTGTGTGTGTGTGTGTGTGTGTGTGTGTATACCTTCATTAAAACAATACTTGCGATATTTATGTTTTTATAGACAAAAGATTGGTTGGGATTATGCAATTTGCAAGCTTGTAGCACAATTCTTTGATGTGGGGAAAAATAAAAATCTAATTATAAATATAGCCAAAATGTAAAAGAAATTTGATATAGCAAGAGCACATATATTGCAAACATAACAACGATATATGATTCTATAGAATGGAGCTTTCTAAAGACTATTCTTAATGAGTTAGGGTTTCCAAGGAAATTTACTGAGTGAATAATGGGATGCATTACTCCAATTTTCTTTCTCTATTCTGATAAATGGGTTTCCTGCCCCTCCTTTTATTGCTAGGAAAGGGTTGAGACAAGGTGACCCTATGTATCCTTTCCTTTTTGCCATTGGGATGGAGTTTCTTTCTAGGTGTCTGCATGAACTGTCTTTAAAGCTTGATTTTAATTTTCATCCTAGATTGAGAAACTGTCTCTCACACACTTGATGTTTGTTGATAATCTCTTAATGTTTGCTAGGGCTGACCTTGCTTCCGTTCAGTTGCTTTTTCAAGCCTTTAATAAGTACTCTACTACTTTTGGTTTATTTGCTAACCTTGACAAGAGTGAGGTTTACTTTGGTGGTATTTCTGAGGAGGAGCAGCAAGTTTTAGCTCAAGCCATTGGAGTGGGCCAAGGTACCATTCCTTTTAAGTACCTTGGTGTTCCTCTCTTTTTCTAAGAAGGTCACTATTTCTCAGTGTAGGCCTCTGGTGGAGAGAGTGACTGCAAGGATTAATGGTTGCATTTCTAGGTACCTTTCCTATGCTGGAAGGCTTTAGTTGGTTAAAGAGGTACTTTTTGGGATTCAGACTTATTGGGCTTAGATTTTTATCTTGCCTACGAAAATTCTTAGGGAAATTGAATTAAGGTTTGTTGCTTTTCTTTCGATTGGTAGCTCTACTTTTTCTAAGAAGGCTTTAGTTACATGGGACACTATTTGTCTTCCTAAGGTGAGTGGGGGTTGGAATGTTCTCTCTCTCACTAATTGAACAAGGTAGCCATCACTAAGCTTTTCATGGATTTGGCTCATAAAGCTGATGGCTTATGGGTTAAATGGGTTCATGTCTATTATTTCAAACATAGACATTGTTGGGATGTTCCGATTCCTAAGAAGTGCTCTTGGATTTTGAGGCAAATTTTGCATTGCAGGATGTTATTGATACTGTGGGTGGCTGTCATGCATGGTAATTCAATGAAGATTAGTAAGCTATACAGATTGATTAGACCTTAAGGACCAAAAGTGGAATGGAGAAGGCTTATTTGTAACAAAAATGCCTCACCAAAATGTGTTTTTATGTTGTGGCTTGCTCTATGGAATAGGCTAGTTACAAAAGATATATTAATTTCCTAGAATATCTCTTGTGATCTTGTTTATCTGCTTTATTTGTAGGAAAATGAGTAAGTTGTTCAACACTTGCTTTTGGCCTGTGATTACTCTAGAAAGGTTTGGAAGGATATCTTGAATCGGTTTAAGTGTTATAGGCTTGTTCAAAGATTTTCTGGTGAAGTATATTGGCTGCAGTAGTACTGCAGCAAGAAGAGAACAAAAGCTAGGTTGTTGCTGATGACTTTTGCATAAACAGTTAAAAGTCTTTGAAGGTGTTAATTGTTTAGTGGTAATTGTAAGCCTGTTGAATGTGTTGTAAACAATATTATCTTTAATATTACTTGTAGGTGTTATGCTAGTGATAGGCAGGTTTTGATCTTGTAATTGCTAGCTTTGGTTTTGGTTTGCTTTTTCTGGTCCTAGGTTCAGGCACCCTTCCTAAAAGGTGGTCTAGTTCTCTGAGTCCAGAAGTGTTGTTCTTATATTTTGTTGAACCCTTCCTAGAAGGTAGCTTCATTATATTAAGAACTCTAGGTGTTTGGTTTTCTAGTTAGGCTTCTGTAGCTAGGGGATATAACTTAGATGTAAGTTGTATTTTTTTTCTTGTTTTCTTTTGGTATAAAATTTTTATTTACCAAAAAAAAAAACCATAAGAGCGGACTGAATATCATGTATTTTGAAACAAATGTATCTCATGTAATAACAAAGCAAAATTTATATAGATGTAAAGTCGAAGTCAAGCCATAATTCAGATAGACACAAACAGTTCACAAATTTTGTTCACATATTCAGTAAACATACCAATTTTAGACTTTTAACTTCCTAAATTCTATTGCCCTCCTGTCAACTACTTCCTTCAAAGAGTTATTTTCATTAGTCAAGATTAAATGACAACATTTAACTCGTAGTTTCGTCAAAGAAAAATGAATCTTGTAAATAATAAAAAGATAAAAATGTTATGAAATGATAAAGTGGATGACTATTATTTTCAATGTAATATTTAGAATATTCTAGAGTTGTGAATTTGATCTTATCCGATGATAGAACCCTAGATTATATACATGTATATATATCCCGTACTAAATGGAATAATATACAGCACAAAATTCCCTCACATATCTCTCTCTATATTTAACAAAAAAATATTGTTAGTGTCTTTTCAATTGATAATAATATATATGTTACAAATAAACAATGATTTAAAAACTTACACTAGGATTTTTCAATTGTAGATCCCAAGTCTTAGATTCCTTTATATGTTTCCATGTATCTCATAAGATACAAAACAACATCGAACATTATGTTTTTTGGTTTCTCCCATTCCAAAATCAATTCTTGAACTTTAAAATTAGCTATTCCACATAGCCAATGCAACATTCTAACAACATGCTGTAAAATCAACAAAATGCTATAATTAGTAAATTTAATACACTATAATAAATGGCAATATTGGTTTGCAAATAATATAAAAGAATATGTCCAATGACTTTGCTTCCAAAACAGGTTCTTCATCCATATTTGTTACTCTGATTATTTCAATCATGGATCTTAGGAAGTTGAAGCATATCATGTATGGAAGAAATGATCTCGAATTGCAAAACACATCTAGCATAAGATGAAAAGACACTTATTAAAAATACATACTACAAACCTTATCAAAAGCACTATTACTTACTAATGCATATGAATAAGAAGTTGATAGCATATCCAAACAATGAAATGAAATACATACTACAATTACCTACTAATTGCACTTATATTCATACTTGTTGAAAGAAGTCTTGTTCTAACAATTCACAAAATTCATCATATGAATCAAGTGAAAGGTAAAAGTGCATCTACAAAAAAAAAAAGGAAAATATTACATAAAATAGATGCATGTAATATAAATAAATCAAAATTAAAGGTTCAAATACAGTGTGTGGCATTAGAATAAAGTATCTAGCCATAGAGTTGAAATATCTTCTCTTTTCACCAAGGTTTACTAAATGCGACCACAAATCAATTACCTTTTCCAATATCCCTTCTTGTGATGACAAGGAACTTAAATCTTGACGAGTTAGCACCGTATACTCATCTTGAAATACTATCTCACTATACAAATCAAAACACCGAGATTAAAGCATATTATGATGTTTTTTTTAAAAAGTATAAAGTTATTAATAATATTAAAGATAAAGTTACTGTTATCTTTTAATCTAAAATCTCCAAACACTCAATCTGCTATGTATTTTTCCACTTGGGTTAAATCCCTTAATAGATTGACATGCCTAAGGATAAATGGAGACTTGTAGAAAAAAGATGGATTAGTTTCTCTCTTCTCTAATAGGATGAAG